AATTTTGGTTTTAAAAAAATTAGTATACGATCCCCAAACTCACCTTCATTGTCATTATAATTGAAAATTGTGCGCTGAACTTCGGAATTGGAGCTTGTGAAATAGGTAATGGGAATAGACCAGTGGTAGCTGTAAGAAAAACAATAAAAATCGTAAAACATATTTCTGCACATTGTTTTCAAAAACCCTACTTGAATGGCGAATCCGTATAGCTGCCTTTGTAATCTTCTGGATTGGCAAAGAATCTCTTTTGGGTCAAGGTATACGAGTTGCCATTACGTTTAACCTCCACAACGGGTAAGCCCATTTGTTCGGTAAAGGTTTGCATAATCAATCTAAAATACAATTTCGAAATTAATTTTAAAATTCTATAAAACAGACGGGGTTTTCTTACTTCACATCAAAATCAAAGTTCAAGGCTTCAACTTCAGTTAGGAAATCATTGGTTTCGGCATTCGAGAAGTAGAATCTATTCAAATAATTGGTGGTGGCATTACGGAATTTCTCGGCACCAACTAAATCTTCCAGCATGCGTATAACAGAGGCTCCCTTTGAATAGGTAATACTATCGAATAGCTCAGTAATTTGATTGGGACTTTCCACGGTTTGTACAATGGGATGAGAAGCCAATGTGGCATCCAATTTCATGACACCATGTAAATCGGCAATAAGGAATTGTGATAGCTATAAGACACAAAAGAAAATATGAAATATGTTTAAAAATAAAAGGATATATCATTGAGCCTACCATATCCCAGTCAGGATGGATATGAGCTACACCCTTGTATTCAATGTAACTGGCAAAACCTTCATTCAACCACAAATCATTCCACCATTTCATGGTAACTGAAAGGAAACAAAAAAATATATACCAAAAAAAAATAAAATCTTTTTTAAAACTTACCCAAATTACCAAACCACATGTGAGCCAATTCATGAGCCACCACAGTTGCAACACGTTGCTGGTTTGCACTTGAGCTAATAGTTTTGTCATACAACAAAGCCGTTTCCCTGTATGTTACCAAACCCCAATGTTCCATGGCACCGGAAACGAAATCGGGTATGGCAGCCATATCAAGTTTTGGCAAAGGATATGAAATATTGAAATATTCAATATAGTATTCAGTTATGCCTACACCAACACTCAAGGCATAATCAACTTTATCCACTTGAGCCGGTGTAGCAAAGACACGCATCTTAAAGCTGGGAACATTTGCAATAACACCTTTTACATCTTTCTCTTTGAATGCGAAGTCCGATACAATGAAACAAGCCAAATATGTACTCATCGGTTCACTTTCGGCGAAATGTACTTCGGTCAGGCCGTTGCCAATGTCTTCTTCATGCTGTGTGGGGGGAGGAAAATAAATAAAAGAATATGAATTAGATAAAATTATTGTTGATTTTAATTAGTTAAAAATTTTGTAAAAAGTATCGAAATTTTATCCAAGGCGATTTGATACGAATATTGTATATATTCTCAATAAAAATAGTTCTCATAGAAAGATACAAAGAACATATTCTCTACGAGACAGACTTTAATTGCTTTTAATGTACAGTAGAACCCCAACTTGCGTCGTTAATAGGGACCGGAGAATCGCGACGCAACTCAAAACGACGCACCTTTTCTATCCTTGCTCAGTGGCATTATTCGCTTAAATAATCATGTATTCATATTGGAAGAAGGGACTCCATTTTAACCAATAAGGGATTTCTTGTTTAGATTAGAGTGGTGCGACAATTTCAGCTAATTGATTTTTTTTTATCACTGTCTCTGTTGCAAATTGTTCTTACTGTTGTAGGGGCTATTCTCTGGTTTTTGAAAAGCGACGCAAGTCGGGGCTCTAGCGTACTTCAGCATTTAAAGATTGAAAATGTCTATATTGTTATTCTCTGCCTAAAAGTATGCTAAATAAATTTTTATACTGTTTGTATAATGTTTACATTTTTACAATCTTTCCAATAATAAGGATAGAAAAATGCATTTGGAGGGTACCATATAGTCGTCCAACTGCATTTTTCTATTCTAAGAATGTGCTTCACGCTACAAATGTATGTGCATCTATGAGGCTGACAGTAGATTAAAGCAAAGTGGCAAAATATGGAAGCATTTCTAAATACGAAAAATAATGTGATTATAATTTGGGCAACTGCCTGGTTGTATATGATGTTGATGTTATCGGATGCATATCACGGCGTTGCTACAGCTCAATTCGTATCGTATTTGATTCAGATATAGGCTGTTCAGGATGCCTTGTTCTAAATATAATTAATATCTGATTGCCATTAAGATGTTGAGACGTATTAAATATACATTTTGGGACCTATTTGGAAGCTAATTGTCGGCTAATTTCCTTTATAAATCCTCTTAATAAGTTTCGTCCTCAAAGATACCCATATCTTGGTTGGGTTATAGCGGCAAAGATAACCGTGTTTTAGTTACAACCTTCACTTTACATGTACCCCAATACGGTATGGGTTTAAAAATCAAAAGCATAAATAAACTGCCTTATCTGACGTTTCTACTCCAGTATTGTTCCTTAAGTAGATAGCTCCTTATCTAACTTTTTGAATATCATTTATATTAGATAATCATTTATTCAGTTATTTAACGAAAACTTACCTCAACATTCATGTTGGAAAGAGCATGATAACCATCTCCAGTTGGTCTGACCACAGTGATGGCAAACATGGCCTTCATGTCGGGTTCATCGAAACAGGGGAAGGCTTGGCGGGCATAGGTGGGTTCGAACTTGGATGTGGCAATTGATCTGTGAAGAAAAACATAAATGTATTGATTAACATGTTCTGTAATAACAACACAACAACTATTCTATATGGCAAAAGCATTTCTATATACATATATCATAAATATACCTCTTCTCATTTTTCTTCTTATCCAAATAAGAACTTTGATAAAAGCCCACAATACGATCGACCAGAGAACCATTAAATGCCAATTGTAGTGAATAATTGCCCACCTCAAGGGGCTCTGCAAATTCTGTTACCCAATATTGAAACTCGGGATGTTCAAATGTCAGCGTTGGCGTAAGCGATTTCAATGGCTGCAAGTCTTCGCCTAGCTGTTGTACTTCTTTGGTTTCCACAGTCAACAGTTTCGAATGCAAAGGTATAAATGATATGGGTTTTAATACTTCCAGTCTTATGGTTACATTGCCCGTAAATGTTTTATTCTTTAAATCTGGCTGCAGTCTTAAATTGTATTTGTGTGGCCGCAACTCGCGGGGCAGACGAAATGATAGTTGGTGCAACACCTTTGAGGCGGTCATAATTCGGGGAGCCAGTGTGGTTTTGTTGAAGCGTATGACTTTCGATGGAGGTGGTGATGGGGTTTGTGTCTGCTGGTCTGTGGGACGAAAACGCAAAATGGGTTTGGTGGATAGTGGTATGCCGCCGTTTTCGTAGCCCAGTTGACCGTCAGCTTTCAGAATGGTGTCGTTGTAGGAGAAATCTATTTGATGAACAGGTTATTAAAGGCACGTCACAAATCTGTCTTTTGTTCTTTGCTCCCAATAGGAATTGATGAATGGGTAAATGATACAAAGGTATGTTATATATCTACTGCGGGAACAACTTGAGGGTTAAATAGTTTAAACAATTAAGCAAACAAAGTAAACTACCGGTTGCATAAAATGCATATCCAGAAAAGTTCAAATTAACTATTCACTTAATGGAAATATGCACTCAATGGAACTATATGTCAACATTGAAGCAACAGAAGGTATTCTTTCTGACTACTTTTACTGGCATTGCCTTTTGATACAATTTAACCGTTAGCTTTGAATTTATTGTATTTTTAACATCTTATTTTCAAGGCCATAAGAGATATGGTGTTGCCATATATGAAATTTATGCCACACCTTTTTCTTCTAATGCCACACATTGTCAATTGCCATGACAGGAGAGAGAAAATAACCATAAACTAATTTTTTAACAAAAATATTCAATGTATGGCCTCTCATTGAGTAAATTACTTACACATTACCTTTGTAAAATTTCTTACTACCCATCCCCATCAATTCCAATTGGATAAAGCAAACAAAACAGCATTTTCATCTCCCAAAAAAACAAACCTGTCTTATGCCTCTCAATAACAATATTTCGGCCCACATAGACAAGGGCACCCAACAGGAATACACACAACACCAACAGAAATATACAAAAGCCGGCCAATGTCAGCACAGCATTGCTTGGCTTTCGATGTAAATGATGTGAATCCTTCATTCGATGATGATGTTCGTCCGTGGACAGCGATGAACGCGGTCTTATTGGTATGGGTATTTTTGGTTGATGTTGTTGCTGTGGCGGGTACATTTTGGCGGACAATTGGCGTTTGTCGCGCGCCTTTACAACACTGGCAAAATGCACTTTGATCTGACAATGCTGTAGCGTTTTTTGTGTGGTGTTGATGTGAAGCTTTCTTCTGTTACGATGCTGTTGTTGTTAACATTTGTTTGTTTGACAATATTTTTTTCGTTAGATTTTAGTAATTTTTACGCAGGATTTTGTGAAGTTTATTAAGTTTTCTTCTTCTATAATTGTAATATATTTCGTTTTGGTGATTTGTGAATAATAAACATGCGGAATATTTTAGTGTTTAGTCGAAAGACAATGGCTATAAAATCAGATTCTAAACAAAGGCAGTTGCTGTCGGAACATTTGAAGATGTGCGATGTGTGGTATTTTTTTTGTGTTTTGTGGTTAATATTATATAATGTTTTGAATTTTTCTTATATAACAGGAATCATTTATATGTTTGGCCTAATATTGCTGCTGAAATCAAAAGGCAAGTCCCAGCATTGGAAACTTATTATTTCCCCTTTTGGCAAATGAAGTCAGGTGCACCGTATCGTATCCCTGCGATTATGTACCCATCAATCCTGCAACCTGCTTCCGTTGACTGCATTTTTGGAAATGGCAAGGCCACTTTCTTTTTTTATCAAAGCAGGGCTTACGACTCATAATGAAATGTGGAAAGGATTTAGCACTCACGAAAGTCTCCAGCACTCCGGATGGATATACCAGCGCTGAAGTCAAATAATCGTTCGAACAAACTTCCCATAAATTGAGAACCTTTTGCTAGGTAAGTACATCTTTATTTAATCTGTAACTGGGTTGGAATGAGAAATTTACATATTTTTATACCCTACAACACTATGTGTTAGGGGTATTATAAGTTTGATTGGGCCAAAAATTATGTAACACCTCGAAATATTGGTTTCCCACATAGGAAAGTATATATGGATCTTCCTAGCTCGCCGAGTTGAGTCGATCTAGCTATGTATGTCCGTCCGTCCGTCTGTCCGTCTGTCCATATTAATTTGTAATCACTCTACAGGTCGCAATTATGGCCCGATCTTCACGAAATTTAGAATGGAGGTGGGGCTATGGTCAGAATAGAACCCTATTTCTTTTGGAGATGATCGCATAATATTTAGGGGTCGAAATGGACCAAAAACTGAAAAAATGTCGGATTTTTCAGTAGCTATACAGGTCGCAATTATAGACCAATCGACGCGGAACTTCGCATGTAACTAGAGTTTAGGGCGGGGAAGAAGCCTACCAATTTGGGTGGTCATCGGATAATATTTAGCGGGTAAAATAGACCATATCTTTTGTGTTGAAAAAATTCAAAACTTTTTATTAAACCGCGAATATTTTAAATCCCGGCAAAATCACAAAGTCATGACAAGGTTACTTCTCATCCTTACATTGATGTTAACATCCAACAAAACGGATATATAGCAAAATATGTGCGATATATATGTCTATCAAAGAAGATATGCATGAAAGATCTCATATATTTCGAGAACGGCTGAACTGATTTCGACAGTTCTCATTAATTCAGAATGGCCTCTTGGCAGGAAAGAAAATACGTCTAAAAAAATCGCATAAAAATATCTCTCTAAAGATGAAAATATTGATTTTGTAAAATTTTCTCATATTTTTTCAATTTTGTCATATTTTTGTCATATTTTCATTTTGAATTAAACATTTGGTAATATTTCTACAGCTAACAGAACTAAGTATTTAGGATATCAGGATATCATATACAGATCGCATTTATGGCCCGATCCTTACGAAATTTTGCATGGGGATAAGATGAGGGTCAGAATAGAAGCCTACTCTTTTTGGAGATGATCGCCATATATTTAGGGGTTGAAATGGACCAAAAAGCTGCAAAACTGTCGGCAGGTCGTAATTATCGCCCGATCCTCACGCACATTTAAAAGGGGGTTACCGGACACTGCAAAAGCCAAGCAGTTTTGGATGGCCATCCAAATATATTCAATGTGTGAAATAGTTTGCCAACTTTTGTAGACAAAATACGAAAATGTTCATTCCAGAGACTTTTTCGAGAATTCACAAATACAGGAAAGACGCACTTCTATTTCGTTAACGCTGATTTCGTTGAGGAATATAGTCAAATGCCTGTATCTCATATAGATGCGTTTCAGTCAAAAACCAATAATAAATGTTAATCTTTTGCCACTTCTAAGAAATTATAGGTCTTTGAGAAATATTGGTTCCAGACCTAGGAAGACCATTTCCAATAAATTGGAAATGAGCAAATTAGTTTAAGTTGCTATTATTCGAAAATTAGAGAACGAAACCAGATGGTTTTCTTTTATAATTTGTCACAATATCTTGTGGAATTCTTCTGAGTATCTCGCCTATATAAACAGTATCGCTTATTATAGTGTTGTAGGGTATTCAACGGTCGCCCCCGCTCCACTGTAGCCTTTGCTTACTTGTTTTACCCTTAAATTTGAAATTAGGAATTCCCAGTAAACAATATTTCCTAGAAGAAACAAATGATTAACAAATATGTATATAGACCACGGAACGGAAATATCGTATGTCTTTTCAAAGGCCATTTGAAAACAGTTCCGTGTAATGATATCAAAAGGCGACTAGTTCGTTCAATCAGCACCAAGACTCCATCTTCCGACGAAACTCGTTCTGTACCTCTGTTCGAACGTTCTCCCCACTCTTGTTTATTGTAATATATCCGGTACATCCCCAACGAAAATCAAACTCAGTTAAGGCCAATTGAAAATATCGATTCACATCTTCTGTGACGATTTTATACAGCCCTCAGACAAAAATGCCATCCACTATTGGGAATAACGGTTTTAGGGCCAATGGCTCTTCCTGAAACCAGCCATCCCAACCTGGTACGTTGTAAATTTTTTTATTAAACTTAGATTGACTTCGAAAAATGTCGATCGACTCATGCAGATTCCTCTTCCACTGAAATGCAAACACAGTTCAGGTCAATTGAAAATATCGATTCACATCTTCTGTTACCTCCCGTAAATACGACTTCAATTTTGAAAAAAAAAAAAAAAAAAAAACGTAAAACCAATGATACTATTTTTCAAATGCATAATGGAAATAACAGTTTAATACTTTAGGTTTCTTAGGACCAAATCCGTTACAGAGCATTTTGATTCAATCTAAGGGTATCTGTCTGACTGGCTGGCTAGTGCGCACGATAATTCTCGAAGTGATTACCGATTTAATACAAAATTTGTACATCGTAATATTATTATCAAACTTTTAGTTAAACTTAGATTGACTTCGAAAGTGGGAAAAAATGTCGGTTCACTCATTTCGGTATTTTCTTTCACAGAAATTCAAGCTCAGTTAAGGCCAATTGAAAGTATCGATTCTCATCTTCTGTTACCTCTCGTAAATAAGACTTCAATTTGGGATACCAATTTCCCACTGCCTCATCGAAATAATGTTTTTATACCCTAGGTCTTTTTGGCCCCAATCCGATTCCGAACATTTGATTTTGTTCTAGGACTGTAAATCCGTTCATATACCTAGCTGTTGCGCACGATAAATCTCAAAGGGATCATCCCTTTTAGTATAAACTTGGTACATCGTAATATTATTATCAAACTTAGATCGAGTTTGGAGATGGGCAATATTGGTACGTTATTTCTGGTACCCAATCCACAAAAGGGCCACATTTTCACAGAAAATATTTTTTTTATAGAGTAAGTAAAGATATTTTAAATCTGTGCTAATTTTACAAATCCTAATATCTTTATCAGTTAGGTCAAGTGCCAAAATGGACAAAATCGACCCATTCCATTATGTACCTCCCCCACCAAGGGTCAAGATCCAGAAATCCTTGCCTCCGAGCGTTTAAGAAACACTGCTCAATGACAACATCATCCCGATATGTCTAGTGGAATGGAATATATTGGTCTACTACCTCTGGTACCTCGCTTGAATAACAAAACCACTATATCTAGTATCTCTCGCACATTTCAATATTTTCCATAAATGATTATGATATATTTTTTAAATTGAAGGAAGTAGTTGATATAGTTCAAATATGGCACCATGTAGTATTAATATCAGATTTAGGTCAGATACGAAATGGACAATATTGGCCCACTCCTTTGGAATGTGGCTCAAAAAGGGTCTAAAGTTTGAATTGTCATAACGCAAGTCAAAGCATATTAGATAAACGATTGGCCGACCTATACATTTGTTGGCAAACCCGATTAATACTTCTTGTAATTTTTAAAATAATTGAGTAAGGTTTTCAAAACCTAATCATGTTTTTAGAATATTTATCACGGACCAATGCAATACATTTTTTGGATATTTTTTACAACGTCTTTAAACTTGTGGACTTTGTTAGAACATTTCAGACATCCTGGTAAAAAATCGTATAATTATTATTTAGGAACTTTTTATTGAAAAGTTTAAGAACCTTTTCAAGAACAAAATCAAAAAAAATTGCATCTACATGTTGTATTAGAGTCCATATGAATATTATTTATCAGCAAACGAATTATTCATATTTGATGTTTCACATTTTTAGTATATTTGAAATAATCAAGGTCGTTGACATGCAATTCGTTGACATTCACTGAGAATTTTATGCATATGCAAACTTTTGCGCATCTCTTGTTTTCAAAAATTTAGCTTAAAGTTAAAACAACTTTAAATCCTAAATATAAAATACGACATATAATTAAACCTTATTACGAAATACGATAATAAAAATGTTAGTGACTTTCGAAAAAAGTTACAGTCATAAATTGTAAATCGCGATCATGTCGAAAGTGACAGTACCAAACGAAAATTGAATAATATTTTTTTGTAACAAACAATTGAAATAATTACAAACAAAAAATAATAACAACTCGATATTGATATCAGTTATTAAGCAACAATCAAAAAAAAAAAACGGCAGGCACGCATTTGCATTTATTTTAATTTGCAGGCAATTCAATACTTCCGCTGCCAGATAAATTACAATTTTTCGATTATAAAATTTTGTATTTTTTTACAACTTTGAAAAGTTATTCACTTTTTTTATGACAACAAATACAAATTTGAAACCATAAAAACGACGTTAAAATACATAAATCAATTGCAGGCCTAATAATGGCGAGTTTCGTGGTAGTGGACATGAATGATTTACGGTGCATGGGAATGATTTCAAGCGGAGAGAGAATGCCAATATTGAAATGATTTTAGGATCTTTGATTTGGTCTCCATTTAATATAAATCTAATACTGTATCAATTTTGCCAAATTTAAACAAGCTTAGAGAATATGGAAAAGGATACATGATATCCACATTGGCCTCAACAGTGAGCATTAATATGTGCTCAGAAAGCCCTGATACTCTATGACGACGAATGCGAAAGAAAAAGACAATTCAAACATGTAAAGTAGTTGCAGTAGGTTTTGCCGACAGATTTATACCCTCAGCCAATGTTCGATTATTTAAAAATATTTTGACGTCTGTTATGATTATTCGAACTGTTGACTATCTATAGAGTATCGGATGAAATCGAATATTAATTTCGCGTTTTATGAGCTTTATGGATATCCAAAATTTTGGCCCCTTGTGAGGGAGGTACCAGCAGGAGTGAACCAATATGCCCCATAGCATATCTTAATCTAGTAGAAATAATGGGATGTGTGAAATTTGATGAGAACCAGATGCTTATATCGGATTTTATGATCGTTTTTGTTATTCAAAACTTTGACCCTTTGTGGGGGAGGTACCTGAGAAAATCGTCCGATCTCTACCGTCTTTATAACATATCTTGTGTTGATGAAATCATTGATATGTACGAAGTCTGGACAGAATCGGATGTTAAATTCGTGTTTTATGAGCTATATTAATATTCAAAATTTTGACTCTTTGTGGGGGAGGTACCAGAAGGAGTGAGCCGTTATATCCCATTTTCACACCAGATCTTGGGTTAATAAAAATATTGTGATGTGTGTAATTTGAAGAGAACCGGGTGCTTATTTTTGATTTTATGATCGTTTTAGTTATTCAAAACTTTGACCCTTTGTGGCGGAGGCACCAGTAGGAATGGTCCGATCTCTACCAACCTTATAACAGATCTTGTGTTGATGGAAATATTGAAATTTTTAATGAAATCAGATGTTAATTTCGTGTTTTATGAGCTTCATGAATATTCAAAATGTTGACCCCTTGTGGAGGAGGTACCAGATGGAGTGAACCGATATACCCCATATCCACAGCAGCTCGTATTCTAGTACAAATAATGGAATGTGTGAAATATGAAGAGAACCAGGTGCTTATTTCCGATTTTATGATCCTTTTGGTTATTCAAAACGTTGACCCTTTGTGGCGGAGGTACCAGAAGGAATGGTCCGATCTCTGCCATCTTTATAATAGATATTGTGCTGATGGAAATATTGAGATGTGCCAAGTGTGAATGAATTCGGATGTTAATTCCGTGTATTATGAGCTTCATGGATATTCAAAATTTTGACCCTTTGTGGGGAAGGTATCAGAAGGAGTGGACCGATATTTTCCATCTTCACACCACACCTTGGTTTAATACAAATACTGTGATGTGTGCAGTTTAAAGACAAGCAGACAGTTATATCGCATTTTATAAGAGTTATAATTATTCAAAATGTTGACCCTTTGTGGGGGAGGTACTTGATGGAGCGAACCGATATTGTCCATTTTCGCACCTGACCTAGAACTGATGAAAATATTAGGATTTGCAGAGTTGGTGAAAAATCGGATTATCCTTTCTCTTTTTTGCATTCCCTTTCGTACAGACACAGGCCCTAAATTTGCTAGAATGCCACCTTTCATTTTTTTACGATTTTTTTCTATAATTATTTTCCTTTCTAAAAATTGCCAACATTCTATGGAAAGTAAACCCACATTTTTTTAAACAATTAACTTACATTTAATCGTTTTTGTTATTAACATTTTAGCCAAGTTTAGTTTTCCTCTTTTTCATTTGGGAAATAAAAACGCATAACAAAACGACCACCAGAACCAACAATAATGGGAAAACACATACCATTTGAAATGGAAAGAAAGAAAAGTCAAAGCACAAAATGTAAGTGCAGAAATGTCGAACCAAATGACCGATTGTTGCTGAGGTTATGGTGTTATCTTAGCAAAAACAAAAACACACAAACTCGTTTGAGTTATGGCCAAGTTAAGCTGATTTGTAACACGACTCTTTTTGGATGATGTCGTTATGCTATTTCTTGTTGGTGTTGTTGTTGTTATTTGTGACGATGTCTTGTCTCAATTCACTTTCTATGGTCAATGCGAACGAACCGAACGTACATAGATAGCTATGTACATACATATGTTGATGAAATGAAAACAACAGCATTTATCTAAAGCCGCAGATAATTGTAACAAGTCAACATCACAACAACAACAAACAAATTTTACACCCAATCCCATGTGTAATTAGTGTGTGTAAACACATAGCTCTTTGGCCCCCGATGTGTAATCCCCTTCGAACCAACGAATTTGATTTGCTCGTTGGAGGCTTCATCAACAAGCTCTGGCGGTTTGACATCATTTGTTGTGAACATTAATGTAGAGTTTGTGTTTGGAAGTCAATCAAGGTTGTTGCCTTGCATTCGATGTTGTTGCCTCTGAGAATTTGATATGCGACGAGTGATGGGGGTAGTTATTGGTAATTTTCGTGGTATTGTATCCTAAGAGCTGATCAATTTTGTTTTGAACAAAATTATTTAAATGTTGCATCAAAAGATGGGCAATTGTTTAAACTAATTTTAAAAGAGTTATAAGAAAATGTGTTAGAGTAAACAAATGTTTTCCGTTTTTTATACCCTGAGAGAGGGTATATATCAACTGAGACGGCCAAAACGTGCCTTATCGAAATAAGGGTTTTTGACCCTAGGTCTCTTTGAACCAAATCCATTTCAGGACATTTGGAGTCAATCTACCGTCTGTCTGTCTGTCAGGCTGGTGAGCACGATAACTCTCGAATGGAGTTTCCGATTTGATCCAAACTGGGTACAACGTAATATTATTATCAAACTTAGATTTCGAAGATGGGCAATAAAGGATAAACCGATTTTGCTCCAAGTGTGGGAATCCTAATATTTACATCAGTGCTAGATCAGGTGCGAAAATGGATAATATCAGTACACTTCTTCTGGTACCTCCCCCACAAAGGGTCAAAATTTTGAATAATTTTAACGCTTATAAAATATGATGTTAGAGTTCAATTGTCTTAGAATTACAAACATCTTAATATTTTTATTAACCCAAGAACTGGTGTGAAGGTGGAATGTATCGGTCCACTCCTTCTGGTACCACCCCCACAAAGGGTAATCATTTTCAAAGAAAATAATTTACTGCATAGAAAGAAAAATGATAATCCTATTTTGATCCAACTTTGCAAATCCTAAAATTTGCATCAGTGCCAGGTCAGGTGAGAAAATGGACAATATCGGTCCACTCCTTCAAGTACCTCCCCCACAAAGGATCAACATTTTAAATAATTGTATCTCTTATAAAATGTGATGTCCAATTGTCTTAAAATTACAAACATTTTAATATTTTTATTAACCCAAAGTCTGGGTGGGAAGGTGGGATGTATCGGTCCACTCTTCCTGGTACCTCACCCACAAAGAGTCATCATTTTCAAAGAATATAATTTACTGCATAGAAAGAAAAAAAAAGATAATCCGATTTTGATCCAACTTTGCAAATCCTAATATTTGCATCAGTGCTAGGTCCGGTGAGAAAATGGAAAATATCGGTCCACTCCATCTAGTATCTCCCCCTCAAAGGGTCAAATTTTTGAGTATTCATTGAGCTCATAAAACGCGAAATTAACATCCGATTCCATTCACACTTGACACATCTCAATATTTCCATCAACACAAGATCTGTTATAAAGGTAGTAGAGATCTGACCTTTTCTTCTAGTACAGCGACCCAAACAATTTTGAAAAATTGTATCTCTCATGAAATGTGAAATAAGCATCTGATTCATTCTAAACTTCACGCATTCCATTTTTTTTATTTACATAAGATAATAGTAGTTATCGGTCCCCTCCTTCTGGTACCTCCTTCAAAAAGGGGTCAAAATTTTGAATAACATAAAGCTCTTAAAAGCGAAATAAGCATTCGATTCTGTTTAAATTTCACAAATCTCAATATTTCTACTAACAAAAGATCTGGTGTAAAGATGGGATTTATCGGCCCACTCCTTCTAGCGCCTCCACCATAACAGGTCAAAATTTTTAATAATTATATTTCTTATAAAATTAAATTCAAATTTCGCATATCTCAATATTTTTACCAACAGATGATCTGGTGTGCAAATAATAGATATCGCCCTACCCTTTTTGGTACCTCTCCCACAAAGGGTCAGCATTTTTAATACTTGTATTTCTCATAACTTACTCAAACAAATCGGCTATTCTTTTCAAATTTGGTATATCTACATAATTTCCTCAACCAGAGATTTGATTAGAACATGGAACTTATCGCCTCACTCCTTCTCGTGCTCCCCTCCGCAAGAGGTTAAAATTAAAATTTACAATTTTTTTCCACAAATTTGGGAATAGATGTCTGATTTTCTTCAACATTTTCACTTTCCGATATTTTTATCAGCATTAGATGATGTGAATTACTTTGACCGACTATATCTGGTACCACACGCATATTTCAACATTTTCCACAAATTTCCATAAAAATATCTCATATGAAGTGAAGAAAGTAGTAGCAGTAATCCAAATCAGACTTAGTTCAGATGAAAAGTGGTTCGGTATCCCCCCCATAAGCGGTCAATATTTTGAATAATCCCAATGTCATTCAAAATATATTTGAATTAACAGTTATAGGCTAAGGGTACACATCTGTAGGCTATACCTGGAAGCTCACTCATATTTCAAAAATTTCCAAAAATTATCACTCAATGGTGAAGGTAGTAATAGTAGTCCATATCAGAGTTAGTTCAGATGAAAAGTAGATAGTATTGGTCCACTTCTTTCGTATCTCGTAAAGAGTCAATATTTTGAATAATCCAAATGCCATTCAAACCATTAAGAAACAGACGTAGGCTGAGGGTAATATTTGTAGGCAAATACTTTTTACCTTATTTTTATCTTCTTTGATTGTATCTCTAACTTATTTTCTTTGTTTATATTTTAAAAATTTAGGAAGTGTCTTGCTGAATCGATAGTAGATCTGGCGAAATTATTCTTATCCTTGCAGAAGAAACTTCAAATGAATTTAATTGCAAGTCTCCCGGTAAGTTAACATTTTGTATTCATTATTGGTATTTTATATAAAGTGGAGTTTTTTTTCACACCATTATTTGATTTGTATACATAACATCTTCATTTCCTTAATATATCCTTCGAAAATAGCTTCCTAAAACCAAAAACAATGTACCCATTTTCTTAAACTGGAAAAAATTGTAGGGAAATATTTTTCCCGCTTGACGCATGAACAATACATGACACCGTGTGAATTCAATTTGGATGCATGATCGCCTAACTTGGTTACAGAAAAAAACCGGTGAGAGAAACTGAAAACCATTGAAACAGCATGACCATCATCAGCATCAACATCACCGTCACCACCAACAGTAACTGTCAATTAATGTGTCAAATCTTTACATTACAAATGAGAAACGCAAAATGAAAAAAAAAAACAAAACATTGCAACGGCATACCGCCAAAAGCTGTCATAATTTTTTGTGTATTTGAGAAATTTAAATTTGAAAAGCCAATACCCGCCCCTCCTTTTAAAATCAAAGTGGTTTTGTAGGCGAATTTGTCTGTGTAATGATTTATGTACGTATATACTCTGGTGGATGAGAGGTCTTTGATACCGCTGGCATAAACTTGTACTAGATCGATGTTGTTGGTGTTACACGCACACACATACACACAAGTTTACTCACACCTGTAATTATTTACTTGGTATATGCCCCCATATAAGTATGTACAACCACTGCATATTACAACAGCAAAAACAACATCATTGGCATCATACAAAACGCTGTAATATACCAGCTACATACATACGTAGATAGCTGTGACTGGCAGATCCATCGTAATCGATGCAAGAATGACTGCCTGCCAGCGAGAATGGTTGAATGGAATGGATTTGTGTCATTATTACCATTGTCATTAAAGTTGCACTTTGCCGTTTTCTCATACCCGCAGAGACAGACGAGTTCAACTGTGTTACAAACATCTCGACATAGGTATCTGAAAGTCATCACAGTGGATTTGTAATGTCTCAAATCGCTTTATCGATTGAATTGAAATAGATGTGTTTAAATATCAATGAAATCCGCATTGCTATGCGAAGTTATATTTCTGGTATTATAAACTTGAATTCTTAATACCAGAAATACCTCCGCCAAATTTTAAAAATATTAAATTCATTTTATATTAAATGTTGAACATCCGTAATTGGAAAATTACAGCGACTGAGTGTCAACACAAGATATATTTACGAAATTTTTAAAACCTTAGGGGTTTGAGAAACTCTTTTCAAAATTCTCTCCCAATTTAAAAAAAAGTACCCTGAACACAGGTATTTTGAGGTTTTCGATACATTTTAAATTTTCATATCGGATTCCAATGTGTTATAAAAAGCATGTCAAATAGTATCAGTCGGTTTTGCCGACAGATATATACCCCCAGCCTTGACTTATAATTATTCAAACTCTTGACTCTTTACGAGGGAGGTTCCGAAGCAGTTGGCCTATATTTCGCATCTGACCTAAGATTGATAAAAATATTACAACTTGACAGATTTGGACTATACCGACTACCTCCTGTACATTATATGAGATATATGTACATTTTCGGAAAATGTGGAAACATGCATGAGGTAACATATATAGCGGATCGAAGTACTCCATTTTCATACTTCATATAATACAGATAAAAATATTGATATCTGCAAAATTTTAAGGATAACGAACATTTATATCCAATTTTATGCGAAATAACAATTTCAGATAAATTACATATTCATATTCATTGAGAGAGATACAGGGTGAGATGAAAAAACTGCAACCAACTTCAGACTGTTGTCAACTCTACGCCACTTGTCCGACAGCTGTTAAAATTATTCCAGTGATAGCTCATTAAATTGTTTACAAGCGTACGAAAACATTTTGGTGAGAATTTTCCAGAAAAAAGTTATTGGTGATGAAATTCAAGCGTGATAGTGTGATTTCTTTATATTTGGCTGGAAAACCACAAGTGGCTATCGCTAGAGCACTCCAGCATTTAAAAGTGAATAAATCTTTTGTGTCTCGTACCATCGATCGTTACCGTGATTGTACCATTGCTCGGTACCCGACATCAAGGAAGTGGACGGAAGAAAACAGCAACATCAGCAGAAATGGTTCGAAAAGTAAAGAAGCGACTTGATCGAAATCCGCGTCGCAGTGGCTGGAAAATGGCTTGTGAGCTGAACATATCGGGGTAAAGCCATTGAAATTCCAAAAGTGCAAGAAATTACACCGCAACAGAAAGAAAATTGACTCAATAGAGCTAAAGAGTTGCTTCGCTTGACCGAAAGTTGTGAATTGCCAAATTTAGTATTCTCCGATGAGAAAACATTCGTTGTCCAGCAGATTGTAAACAAACTAAATGATTGTGTTTACTTGCCAAAGAGGTCAGCTGAAAATGTGCAAAAGCGCCGTCAATGGTGATGGCGTGGGCCGCCCTAAACGGCCGATGATCGCTCTCCGCTAGTATTAATCGACCGTGGCATTAAAATAAATGCCGAATATTATCGCGAAAATATCCTGGAGGGTGTATTAAAGACTTCGGCACGAAAACTTTTTGTCCGCAGACCTCAGCACGCTCCACCCAAGAATGGTTACAAAATGAGATGACTCGCTTCATTTCCAGCGCTCAATGACCACCAAAATCTCCGGATACCAATCCGTTGGACTATTGTGTCTGGATTGTTTTGGAAAGCAAGGTTGGCACTAATAAATACCAAAGTGTCGATCACCTCAAGCAAGCGCTTTGCCGGGAATGGGCCAATATTCCGCAGAGCAACATTCGGGCAGCGTGTGGCGGTTTCAAGGCCATAATTCGTGCCAAAAGTGGCCAATTCGAACAAATCTAAACTTATTAAAAAATTTTATGCTATTTCCGACATTTTTTGTCTTCATTAAATAAAATTTTAAAAAAATATATGAGGTACCTGATAGAATGGACCGAATATCCCATTTCCACACCATACCTTGGGTTAATAAAAATATTGTGATGTGTGTAATTTGAAGAGAAGCATATGCTTATTTCCGATTTTATGGTTGTTTGTTTATTCAAAACTTTGACCCTTTGTGGGGAGGTACCAGAAGATCTCTACCATCTTTACAACAGATCTTGTGTTAATGGAAATATTGAGATGTACTAAGTGTGAATGGAATAGGATGCTAATTTCGTGTTTTATGAGCTGCATGGATATTCAAAATGTTGACGCTTTGTGGGTACCAGAAAAAGTACGCCGATATATCCTATCTTCACAAATTATCTTGTGTTAGTAGATATAATGGGATACGTGAATTTTGAAATTTATTTCGGATTTGATGATCGTGATGTGCCAAGTCTGAGTGGAATCGGATGTTCATTTCCTGTTTTATGAGGTTCATGAATATTCAAAATTTGACCTTTTGTGGGGGAAGTACTTGAAGGAGTGGATATATATATTGTCCATTTCCGTACTTGACCTAGCACTAATGCAAATATTTGGATTTTTTTCTTTCTGTGCAGTAAATTATTTTCTTTGAAAATGTTGACATTTTGTGGGGAGGTACCAGATGTATATTCCGCATCTCCGAACTCGATCTAATATTCACAATAATATTACGATGTACCAAGCGCACCAGCCACGGACAGACGGAAATCGCTAGATCGACTCCAAATGTCCTAAAACGGATTTGGTGCAAAGAAACCTAGGGTCTAAAACCGTTATTTCCATGATGCACATTTTGGCCGTAACAAATGATATATATCCTCTGTAGCCATATGTTGAGGGTATAAAAAGATGATGTGTTAGCTGACATTAGATATTTCGATCATAAAATTTGGCAAAATCATTTTGTCAATAAAATAATCTGGAATTGCGATTCGACTTTACATAGTAGCTGTCTTGCAAGCAGTAAACGTGGTTGTAAGTGAAGGAGATTGTGTGTGAGAGGGTTGTGCCTCATTGAAATATTAGGTATGGACCCCAAGTTTCTATGGACGAAATCTCTGTCAGGACATTTGTCTGTGCCTTTTAAAGCAAGTATCCGAATTTTTTGAATTAGAACGAGTTCGAATAGGCGTCATATCGACCCCCACACAGAGGACCAAAAATTCTGTAAACATTTTCTTATTTTCATTCCACTTTGCATTATACGCTGCAGCCTGCAGATAAACATGAATCACACTCTCATGACGACGTGGACGACGATGATGATGATGTGATATGGTTTCATTTTTCAAATGCATAAATATTTGCTACAAACATTTTTGATATTGTAATATTTTTATGTTCGACTTTTTTGTAGCTGTAATGCTTTGATGCAACGTCAGGCCAACACCCGTTCGCTCACTTACTGTGGTAAATATGCAATTGCTTCTTTATGATGCGTTTGCGTATGCATGAATAATCGCTCCATCGCTGTTTGAACTGTGTTAGCCTGGCATCATCATCCGTTAGTGCCGCATCTGACAGAAGAGCTTTCGTACCCTGTGGGGCATCACAGTCAATTATGGAAATTATTATTTGTTGGAGGCATCAAACGACAACAACAATGACTGTTATTCACAGCAAGTTACTCAAAACGCCTATTCAAAATTTGTTTTTATTTGTGTTTTAATTTTGTTGTTGTTGTTGTTGTTGTTGTTGTTTGTCAAAGTAATGCAATAATACCGCAATGCAGTGAGAGATTTAGGACAAACTGACTGGGGTACTACATAGGATTTAAAAAAACCATTGCAAATATCGGCTTCTTATACTTCAAATTTCCATCGGAATTGAAACAAGTAAAAAGCTACAATGTCGACCGGGCCGAACTTTGAATATCCTCCACCATGTGGAACGAATTTGGCAATTTTCAAAAAAAGAAAGAAAACGTTAAAAATTCTGTTAAAATCTTAAAAATACCGAATGTAGCTGTTATATTAGGGTCTATACGACGACGTGAACCTGCATCGGCAACTTTTGCCATAAGCCATTACAATATTTAAATGCGAAACTTGAAAAAAAATATGTGAATAATG